TACGGCAGTTTTCATGTAGTTTGCAGCCATTTTCTACTGGCCAGAATGAGAGTCTACAGCTGGCTGCCACGAATAGGCAGGAAGATTCTATTGGTCAGCGTGAGAGCCAACAGCTGACTGACACGAATGTTAACTAGCATGCTAGCATGCAAAAAAAAAAAAAAAATCGATAGCTGCATTCGTCACAAGTGGGAAAAATTTAAATCTGCATGGCACTTTACTCCAATTGGCTCGTTCGCTTGCTTAAACTCAACGTTGATTCTGATTCCGCAGAACTGAGTTGGGTGTGAAAAAGTATTTGTTGTTAACATTCTTGTTGTGTTGCTTCCATAATGCTTGCCTTCAGTTCATCTTTGGTGTTACAAGGAGTTTTGTTGCCCTCTCGTCCAACTGTACCCCACACATAATAATCAAGGGTTTGAAGTCTCGGGAGTTAGATGACCAGATGTAAGGGGTGATGTCGTTGCAGAAATTGTCTGATAGCTGTGACTGTTTTCTCCTGCTTGTGTGGCAAGATGCAGAGTCCTTTTGCCAGGCATAGGTTCTTCCAGCAGCCACCCGCTTGACCCACTACCTGCTCAAGACACTTGATGTAGGCTTCCGTGTTGAGTCTGAGGCCCTCAGCAACAAATTCGGGAGTTCTTTTCATATCAGAACGATCAGAGTGAGTTTTCCAAGATGGCGTATCACCATTAGACTCATCCAACTCTTTCCGAATCCTCTGCACTGTCCTCAGATTGACACCTAAACATTTTGAAATGTTCGTATTGGAGCTTCCGATTAGAATGCAAATTTGATTGAATTGCGTCATGGGATTCTTTTTCTCAGAGTCGGTGTTCAACTCGACCCTACTATACTGTGAAGTCGACAAAATCAAAAACAAACAAAGCGCATGCGCGAAATTACAAATATAAAATGGAGACAATTTACCCATCACATCCTGGATATATGAGATAACGATATATAAAGTTTTATGTAACTGCGATAACGATGTATAGATTTTTACATATCAAGAACAGTTTTGGAGGGAAAAATTTTTTTCAGGAATATTTTCAAAATTTTAAATTATCAGCGTCACTCGTTCATGCGCATGTGTAGTTGCATCAACGTAAACAAATCTAGTCTGATGAAGTCCTAAGGGACGAAACGCGTAACTCGAAAACCTTTTCAACTTTGACATTCCATATATATATATATATATATATATATATATATATATAGAGAGAGAGAGAGAGAGAGAGCGAGAGAGATAGATAAAATCCAGGTAGAGCTCTATTTACAAGACAAGACAAGAATATAATATAAAAGGCTGAAACTCTAATATTCCATGATTATGATTTATTACATTTGAATCGTAATCACGATCCAATTTATCAAACCTACAAATTCAAAAAGAAAACAGAAAATATATTTAAAAAAACAAAAAAAAAAAAACAGTGAAAGTGTATGTGGGAATGAAAATAAAAAAAAACAAAAGAGAGAAGTTTTAAAGAGAGAAGTTAAATAACGGTTTAAATAAGATAAATACGTGTTATTATCAGTTGCATAAATCGACTAACGACCCCCCCCCAAAAAAAAAAACATGCATCGGAAAAGTGTGGATACATTTATGAATACATTAACTTCTCTGTTTAAAACTTCCCTCTTTTAAATTTTATTCCTCATCCTCACCTCAGGTCTTGTTCTTCTTCCGTTACAAGTCTTTCTACAGCTTTCATACTTTTCCCGCTCATCCTTGTTTCTCACTCCCCCCAGATATATATATATATATATATATATATATATTGAGAGAGAGAGAGAGAGAGAGAGAGAGAGAGGAGGAATTAATGCAAATATAAAATTTGGTCACTTAGCTGATTGATGTTATTTTCAGCATCTCGACTCGAGTTTCGTAGATGGATCCTCTAGCAATTACTGCGCCCACTCAGCAGGAGATGCCAGCAACTGACTGTTTATTTTCACATTTTTCGACACTCTTATATTGTTAAGAAATAATTTATGCATTTTTCATTGGTGCAAGGTTAATAATTTTTCTTTTTCATTCATTGTGTGTGTGTGTTTCTGCCTGTGTGCAGGTGTGCGTACGCTTGCACGTATATATATATATATATATATATATATATATATATATATATATATATATATATATATATGTTTCATTAAAAAACAACAGACAAGGTGCTACGGTTAAGCTTTTTATTTAATTTTTCTTTTGTTCTAACAAGAGCTTTCTTTTCTGGACAAAGGGTGTGTAAGAACTGTCCAAATGTTCTATATTTCCGAGCGCTTTCGGCTATACCTTTAGCCATTATCAAGGATGATTCGATTTTTCAGCTTAATTAAGTGTGTGCATTATGTGTATATCTTAGTGTGTGGTAGGGATGTTTTTAATTACCGAATGCGGTTAGCACATTGTGGCTTTGTTCGTAGTTAATATTGTTAAGAGTTGGCTTTTTCTTTTTTCTTATTAGAGCTTCCATTATTTTTAGTCTTTTTTTGTAAGTGGATGCAGTTAATATATTTGTGTTTTCTACTAGTATGTTTCTAATGGTGTCGGGTAAATCTGGGTGTGTGTTTAAATGTGTTCTAATGGAGCTGTGATCAGATAGGTGTAACGTAAGACGTCTGGATAAGCATGTGGTTGTGTAACCGATGTAATTATTTATGAGTCCGGCTTGATCAGGAACACAGTTCATTAAGGGGCATTTGAACTCATAGATAATGTTCGTTCTTTGTAATTTTGACTTAGTTGGTGTGTTGTTATTTTTGAGGATAAGGTTGGCTAGATAATAAATTTGATTTTTTTATTCGGATCAATAGGAGTAGTATATTTCTTTATAATATGCCTTAGAGAAGATTCGTCTTGTTTGTAATTAATATGCATTTGGTTTTTGTAATAAATGTGTATGTGATTTTTGGCTGTTTGTTCGCTATCGTTATTACTTACTTTGGGGAGGAATAGTCTAATTTGTTGGTCTATAAGGTAGTTAGGGAAACCGTTGTTAATTAGTGTTTGTTTAACGCTGTTAAGTTCTATTAAGGTATATAACCATTATGGTGTAATGGTTTGCAAGCTTGGCTTGCTAGAACAATTTACGACTGAGAAGTGAGTTCGAATCTCACTGGTTGCCCCATACTTTCGTCTGAGCTACGCTTGGAAAATCACTGTAGCCATTATGATTGTGAACCATCATATATATATATATATATATATATATATATGAAACCTCCGCTTGATAGATAAAGCCAACAAACTTCTATTAACCATTAAGATTGTGAATCATTTCTTTGTCTGGATGAAAGACATTATTTAGGTGCTTTTTTTACCCAAATATATACATATGCTGATATACATTCACATAGAGGACTGTATCGCTGTATCACAGGTCATCAGTGTGGTTAGACATCCGATTGTTTCAAACTTGACCGATTTGGCATCTGTCAGAGACGCTATCCCTAATCTTTCAGAGAAAGGAATCTTTTAACGCATTATATGCGTGATGTGTGTAAACGCCGAATCAGCAACCAGAGCGCTCAATACATAACTGAAGAGCGATGCGTACCTATATATATATATATATATATATATATATATATGTATATATATATGTGTGTGTGTGTGTGTGTGTGAGTGTGTGATTCGCAGTTAGTAGTGTTTCGCTGTATCACAGCTCCTCAGTGCGACTAGACAACCGAATGCCTCAAGCCCGGAGCAAAACCCAACTGATTTGTATATATATATATATATATATATATAATTATTTAAAAAATGATTCCATCGTTACATAAGAGTTCTAATAATTACTTTTTATTATATATACATTAGGCTTATGAATTTTTTGTAAAATAATTGATTTCCTGTATCATAATTTTAAAAAAGCATCGTTTGTTTAATGTTGAAGTTATGAAATGTTCTTTGGTCTGTCTAGATATTATAGGCGTTGAGCACTTGACTTCAGTTAATAGGTAGGTGTTTGCCTTTTGGTCTTTCTTTTTTTTTTTCTTCAGGATTTTTTTTTTTTGGCTATGGTGTGAAGTTTTTTTGGCATGTTATCTGTTGCTAACACCGGCAGGGCTAGTTATTCTTTAGTATATATATATATATATATATATATATATATATATATATATATATATATATAAAAATGAATTTTTGACTATTATAAAATAATTAAATTCCTGTATCATAATTCGATGCACTTTTATTTAAAAAAAATAAAGAAGGGCTTAATTCAGTTTCTTTTTTAAAAAATGTCACCCCCAACACGAAATTTCTAAAATCGTATATTAGTATAGTAGTACTTTGAAGTTCTGGAGCCTTCTAGAACATCATGGAAACTTTTAGAACTTGTTTTTTTGTTTATTTGTAAGTTTGCATGCGTAGATTAAATTTCTTTTTGTTTGATTGATTTGATTTCTATGGCTGATCAAACCTTTGTAGGTTATTTAAAGCCAGAAAATATTTGTGGTGGGGGGACAATAATGATTTACTGATACAAGTCTTACAAGTTAACCCATATCTGGAGGGGGAGTAGTGGTGAACTCATACCTTTCCGAAGTCTATTTGCGCGTAAGTGAATATATCGAACCCAACTGAAATCGGAACTCCGTTCTCTGATTAACAATTCCGAGCCATTATCCATTACGCCACCCGCATATTCAAACTTACAATATCTTGTATTTGCAAGTAGTCACCCATTTAGGTACTGAACAGACTCGATGTTGCTTAACTACGGGGACCGGTGTTTAAACATGATATGACCGTAAGCCTCATAGATTTACGTCATGTAAAATTTTCCTTATCTTACCATATTTAATCATGCATTTTATATTAATGAGTATCGCGTATTTTTAAATCTCGACACTTGAAGATAAACGCGGATTTAAAGAAATAAACGAACATTCCCCTCCATCAGATAATGTGCATACATAACGGGCAAATGACTGGTTATTTCCACACTGAACAGCTTCACTTACCATTACGTGCCGTAAAGAAACAGATGTCTCTTCTTGGCCGGCCACGCGACCTAGAGCCTCCCACCAACCGTGATGCAAACACTTGCAGCACTTTGTCAAGCGATATGCTATCGCTTTTTATTTCTCTCTATCATCAAGCTTCATTTCTTCACCAATTCCCACACAACTGCATCTTCCCCGTCCTCCTGTGTCGAGGTTCCTCGGCCACCGGTCAATCAGCATCCAATGGACGCATAAACACACATCAAACGGAATAAACATGGATGGCTATCAAAATGGAATGCGCAGGACTGTGGCTGGCGGCCGCTTTGATGTCTCCTTGCAGGTTGTATTGGGCGATCGGCATTGTTCTTTTATGAGCTTTCCACTGCTTGCTGGTAACAAACGGTAAACGTTTAGGGCAAAAGAACGCAGATAACAAGGAGATTAAGACCAGTAAGAAAATGGTGCTGGCAATGGTGGAAATGACGAGGTAGTAAGCTGTCTATTGCGGGTGGAGTGGTATGTAGAACAAGGTAATCTTTTTCTTCTGCTTCTTTTTTTTCTTTCTTTTTCTTTGTCTTTTTCATTTATCTCTTGATCTTTTTAATCTCAGATTATCTACTTTTTCTCTCTTTTAACTTCAATGCATTTTTTCTTTTCAAATAAAATTATATTTTCTTTCTTTTGTTCTCTTTCTTTCTTGCTTTTTCTTTCTTTCTTTTATTTTTACTCTCTTCTTTTCTTTTTTCTTTCTTTCGGGTTTTAACACAGAATTCTAATTTTTCCTCATTTCTTTTCTTCAATCGTTTCAACTACTTTTTTTTTCTCGCTGTTTTATTTATATTCCATTTGGTCTTTTTCTGTTCTCTCTTTATTGGCTCTGTTCTTTTTTTTAATTCCAAACTATTCTCTTTTTTTTCTTTTTCTTCATCTTTTCTCATCAAATTCTTTTCTTTTCTTTCTTTTGCTTTTCTTTTCTCCTTTGGTCTCTTTTCCTCTTAAGCTACATTTCCTATTTTAGTGATAATCCTCCTTACCTTCTTTCTTTCTTCACTTGCCTCTTCTTTCTTTCTTTCTTTCTTTCTTTCTTTCTTTCTTTCTTTCTTTCTTTCCACACTTGCCTTCTCTCCTTTCTTTTCCTAATTGCGTCTTCTTTTTTCTTTTCTCACTTGCCGTCTCTTCTTTCTTTCTTTCTTTCTTTCTTTCTTTCTTTCTTTCTTTCTTTCTTTCTTTTCTCATTTGCCTCTTCTTCTTCTTTCTTTCTTTCTTTCTTTTCTCATTTGCCTCTTCTTCTACTTTTTCTTCTTTTTTTTCTTTCTTTCTTTCTTTCCACACTTGCCTCCTCCTTTCTTTTCTCATATGCCTCTTCTTTTTTTTCATCACTCGTCTCTTCATTCTTTCTCGAAGCTTCATCTCTTTATTCTTCTCACTTTTCCTTATCTTTGTATTTCCCATTTTTCCCTCTTTCGTTTCCTCTGTTTTCTTTAATCTCTTCCTCTCCCTTTCATGCCTCTTATCTTTTGTTCCATCCTTCCCTTCGTCTTTCCTTTTTTTTTGTCATTCTCTTATCTTGATTTCCTTTTCCTGTTGTCGTCCTTTATCCAATTGACACTTTCTTCTTCTTCTTCTTTTTCTCTATCTTCTTTCATTCGTGCTTTCCAGTATTTTTAGCCCAATCCGGCTCAATGCCACGATGAAGTTGATCACACCCGCTTCAATCGTACAGCTGCTGCGTGCACTTAACGATTTTGCCCCGATGTCACGCTAAGCATCAAAACGCTGACGGCGGGGTGAACCCTTAGAACTGCATATCGAACCCAAACAGAAATAAAACTCAATTGGCCAAAGCAACGACGCCGAACAAAATGACCATTTGACAGGTGCAATTAAATCGTTTATCAGATGTGCGTGTGTTTATTTGTCGCTCGGATGATTGCTCGCTCAATGTTTTGCCACAGCTACAAGAGACGCTTTCAGCTGCTATTGCACAATACAAATATGTATATATTTAATTTTTGAGGGTAGCTCTAGAGCAGGGTGTTGGCTTCGGCAGGCAGGGGGTTACGTCGTGGCTGTTTGAGGTACAGATCCCGAAACGAGTATTTATCAGTCCATCTACTGCGATAAAATACTTAGTCTTTTAATGCCAATAGCCGTTTGTATTGGAGTCCAGTCTATATTCATCGAGCACCCACAGAAGGGTGCACTCATCCTTAATACTTCGAAAGGCTTATATGCAAACTACTGCACAACAGCTAGCGAGTAGTTTTGGTTGATTTTATGACATGCAGACTCTTGTTGGGTTAATTAAAGTCGGAATTAATCATTTATTATTATTATTATTATTATTATTATTATTATTAGGAGTAGTATATAAATATTTATTTGGATCAAGGATAGGCAAATACTGAGGGTTTATATTTGGATCTATAAACATTTACTTGGTTCGAGGATAGGAAAATACTGATTATTTTTAGTTGTATTTATATGTATTTACTTGTTTCGGGGATAAGTACATGCTGATCATTTATATTTGCATATATAAGCATTTACTCGGATAGAGAATAGGTAATGTTTATAAAAGTAACAATAATGTTGATTATGATGATGATTGTAAGTTCTTCCGGTCCCACTATGGAATTCTGGGAACAAAACGAATCCAACGAGGAGAGTATCTAAACAAGGGGAGGCCACTCTTGATTATTCATAAAAAAAAACATTTACTTGGTTCGAGGATAGATGAATACTGGTCGTTTATATTTGGGTCTATAAGCATTTACGTCATTTTGGGGTTGATAAATATTAGTATCTATAAGTGTTTACTTGGTTCGAGGATAGGTAAATATTGTTTTCTTTTAAATATTTACTTAATAGGTAACTGATATGTATGCATTTGGCTTATTCCATACTCTTCTGATTACCATAAATAACCTTCAGCTGGGGTTCTTAAGGTTTTTAAGTAATACACCCTTTTAAGCATATGTCAAAATGTTACCCCCCCCCCACTTTCTAAGATTACACAAAACAAAAACTACATTTCAAATAATACATATATACCATTGAAAATCATTCTTTTCCATATTAGTTCATATCCATTTCCACGGATTATTTTTATAGAGCAGTTTATAAATTTAATTGCAATAGAAAATGTTGATGGATTTTTAAACTTGAATACATAAAGAGTAATTTGCTTTATTTCATAACAAAGATTCATCATACCGTTTATTTTGACACTAATAATGGGCTCCAAATTCTATAAATAAAATAAGTAAAAGATTTCCCCTTGAAATCCAACGCGTATGGGGAATTCCCCCATCCTGATTGAGGATTCCTGATCTACAATATCGCATCTTTCAAATCTATGTAAATATTATGCTTTTTAACACTGAATTTCTACAAACGAAATCTCTGCATTTTGTTTGTGGTTTTAAAAAATAATAAGAAAGACTATAGATTTTTGAAAGTTTATGGCCTATCCCTATACCTCAGCTCACTCAGTATTCAGTGACCATTTTGAATATTAAGTGAGCTCCAGCATCTGTAAGCGACTGAAGAACAAATTTTCCAACAATTTTCCCAATTTTTGAAATCGTCTGTTCTTAAGGCTCAAGCTGTACAACGGAATTTCTTTAGTTTTGATAATTTATTTCTTAGTTGCAAAACAAGATTAACTTTTTTGTTTTGTTTTGAAGCATTTTCCTTAACTTAAAAAGAAAAACAAAAATAATTCAACTACTTGAGAACATATCGACGTCTATTTGAACGTTCGCAAATATACGCACGTGTGGCTAACAGATTAAAATCATATTCTTACAAAATGTCATGACATTGAACATGCCTAATAATTTTATTATACATGTAAAACTCATTTTTATTTTAAAATTTCCTCATCATTGTCAAATTGTTGCTAACTGCTAAGTTGTTTTGAATTTTTTTTTCTATTCTTATTTCGAAGAGAATCTGTATTTGACGAAATATTTCGGAGAATTGTCCTTGGCGTGTATATTTTCAGTTTTGGGGATTATTTTTATTGCTCTATTTAATGCAACATTCAAAATACGATGGTTCGTAAATTCTAACACCTCCAAAACGAAATTGCTTTCATTTAATCAGCATAGAAACACTTTCTGTCTTTCATCACTATAACTGGTGCTAACCTCCGGGAGAGAAACCTCTTTGCGTCTAGTTGGGCTGGGGCTTTCCACTGACACGAATCAATTCCTAGGATTACTGTTCAGAATGTTTGTACATTGTGCCAGACAAATTTTCTCTTCAGAATGCATCTTGCACATCTATAAATCTATCATCCGTCCGCGCATTGAATATTACTGCTATATTTAATAAATCCGATATATATCGATATTCTTGACAAAATGTAATGTAATCGATCTTGACTTGAAATCTCGACTTCAGTCACTTTCTCACCGTCGTGGTGTGACTTCCCTCTCTCTCTTTTCTACAAATAATTTCATGACAATTATTCTCATGAGCTTCCCTCGACTGCATGATTGTCAATTAGGTCCCACCCTTTTTACTGTCGAACTAACTAGATGTAACCGCAAGTTCTATTCTAATAATTTCTTCTCTCTCATTGCTCGCCTCTGGATCTCTCTTTCGGCCTTTTGCTGCCTAAAATCTTCAAAAATTTAAACGTGACATCAATCGCCATCATCCGTCTTCCTGAATCACGTTGCTTTATTATAATTTCTTCTAATGTCTTCGAATTCTCAAGTTAATTAGAGCCTCTATTACATTGCCAAAAATTGGTAGAAGCTAATAAGCATATAGAAAAATCAGTCAGTTCGCTTGATTTCTTATAGACTGAAAATACAGAATAGGATTTCCGACAAAGAGGAAAGCAAAAAGCAATAAAATCCTTCCCGGGTAATTCTCTCTAGTCACTCCCTACTGCGTTTGATATGCATTGGTCACCAGTCTTTGTATCTGAGTCTTGTAATAACAGATGACGGAAAATGTCACCCCAAAAATGCAAAAGCACAGAAGAGTAACTAAAGACCATATTCAGAAGTAAGATATTTTCTCTTATTTACTATCACAGTGTTATGTTTTTCCAATTGTGGCCGACCATGGCTCTCAACAGCTTCCTTCATTTCTTTTCTAACATTTTAAGGGATTTAAAAAATATCCTTAGAAACAAACGAAAAAGTAATGAACTTTGTAGGGCAGTTATAAATCCGAGTAAATAATTATAAACCCCCTAACATTTATAATATACAAAAATTATCGTAAAAATGAGAAGCAACAAGACGTGGAAGCAACAAAACAAGTATAATTTATTGTCTGGTTGTTATGTGGTGTTGGAGAGACATTAACGCTGAGTAAAGTTGTGAATTTGGGGTCAAATGTAGATCCAATATGGATCGCAATCAGATAGAATGGTAAGAAAAAGAAGAACTAAAGAGTATACAGACTTTCTCGTAAGTTTCTTTGTGTGTAATAAGTGTCCAGATAATTTAGTCGGAAACTACAAGAAATGTCTGGGATTTTCATACCTCAAATGTTTATTGATTGCTAAAAGATAAATGTTACTATTACGGTCTGAAAAGGAAAAGGAGCCGAAATTTTCGTTGACACACGTGCTGAGGGCTTGTCTGTCTTGCTTAGTTGTCCGATAGTGCGAATGTCACGTGTGTATATAGGACAAGAGTGGGGTCAATACTCATTAGTTTAGAATGAGTGTAGTAATAACAATTATAATTGCTATACTTATTATAATTATTTTTGACAATATAATTCATTTTGATTCACTTATTCTTATAGACACGATACAGTGACAGTATAAGTAATTTTTTCTTATGTATTTTATTTAGCTATGGACACGTCAACTTCTAATCTCCGATATCACAATGAATTTATTGACCGAACAGCCAGTTTCGGTTGAAATTTTAAAAAAATCTTTCTCTTAAAACAAGGTTTTTAGGAAAATAGGTTTCTCGAGTGTACTGCTATGGCTCCTTACAGTATTGGTTGGAGAGAGATTCTTCCTAATCATTCGTTCGAAATAATGTGAAATTATTTTCTCTTCGAGTTACATGTACTATCCATTTTAATTGTTGCCGCTGTTGAAACTCCTCAAATTGTGTTCTTTCTGTTACTTGGTCCAGTTCTTTGTTTCTGATTCTGTAGCGCCAATCCACGAATTACAAAGAAGAATGCTCCTCTCTAAGAACTTACACTTTATCCAATCTTCAGATTGGTTGAGAAAGAATCCGAATGTCTGAGAGAGTAAAGGAGAGAAAAACACACGGACAAAAGACTCTTATAACTGTCGGTAGGAGTATTCAAAATTATTATCTTCATTATTAAACTTGACAGGTAATAATAGTAGCAATACTTGTATTTCAGAATACGTATTGACAATTACATGAGACAAAAACCAGAATTGTAATGAAGAAAATGTAAAAAAAAGGAAGAATTTATCATGAAGCAGATGTAGATATAATAAGGTACCACACAATAAAACTGAAGAATATTAAAAGAACATCAACATTTGAAATACTTTAAACTATATCAGGGCATCGTTCAAGAGACTAAACAAGCGCAGAATGTGATAATGAAAAGTGGTTATGTTCAAAATAAGTGGATCATCGAGAATGTTTCAAAAATATTCTTCAAATTATATCAATGAAGGATTCGAAATCCTTATTTATTTATCTATTAGTAAATTTTGTCAAGGTAGAGAGCTACAATCTCCACGATAATTATGAATGAGTCGCGTGGTATGAACAGAAGAAGGTGGAAAGAAGTTAAGAAGACGAGAATAAGTAGGAAAGATGACGATTGACTCTGGACTTGAAGAGATTTCATGAAAACACACGCAGGTGTTTGTTTTACAATGTGGCAGTACATGCAAAAAAAAAAAAAAACTGTCTGAATGGAACTGTCTTCCTAAATCGGTTTTTGTTTAAATATCATTATCAGACTTTAGTAGGCATGTTCTTTCCAAAAAGAAACTGTTCCTTTTTAATCGTATTACATAACCCAGTTTGCCTTATTACGAATGTTTAAATTCACAGCCTAGTCAATCTTATTACGAACGTTGAAATTAAGACATTTCCTAGACTAGTCACCTTAGAAAGCGTAAAGATCCCAGTCAGATTTATTACGAGGGTTTAAATTCAGAGATTTCCTTCTCCTAGATTGGTTGCACTAACAGAGCTAAACAATGCTGATGCTAACCTCCAGGAGAGTAACCATCATTTGTCAACATCGAACCAAAACGAACGATCCTTTCTTTAGCTCTATATAGTATATGCTATGTCAGGGCTACATACAGTTTTTGAATTCAGAGTTACTTTTTTCTTGACCGGTTACCACCCACGGCTGTAAAAGCCAGTCACTCCTGCTATTTTCCCAAAGCTGGCGGGGGGGGGGGGTGAGAAGAAGAGGAGTCATACTTTACTCAATTAGCACGTAATACGAATGTAATTCGAACTCGGCTCTCCGATTCCAAAATCCGAGCCGCTGCCCATTACTTCACCGTCTCCTGATTGTTAGATAGATAGATAGATAGATAGATAGATAGATAGTAAAGCAGGAAGGATTGATAGATAGAGAGAGAGACAGAAATTTATAAACTGTCATAATAGATACAAACAGACTGCACTCTTTAGCCTGCTATGAATGGGCTGAAATAAATTAACACTGAAATAGACCTGTATATAAACAGTGATAAATAGATATAAACAGATTAAATAAATAGATATAATAGATAGATAGATAGATAGATAGGAAGATAGATAGGAAGAGACTGTGATAAATAGATCATTTGACTGTATTTGGGATCATCGAGCCAATACGAACGATCCTTTCTTTAGCTCTATATAGTATATGTTACGCCAGAGCTACATACAGTTTTTGAATTCAGAGTTACTTTCATTAGACCGGTTGCCACCCAAGGCTATAGGACCCAGTCTGTCCTGCTGGGGTAGAGCAAGAGGATACATACCTTTCACATACTTTTACTGGAATTCGAACTTCGTTTTTGCGCGTAATTGAATGCAACGAACTCAACTGGAATTTGAACTGGGCCCCCTGATTTCTCATTCCGAGAAGATATTCATTGGAGCACCGCACATTCGGTAAGATGCTCGAAGAAAAAGTAAAATATTTACAACTCTATCCAGGAAATAACAAATATATACTTAAATAGAATAGTGACCGTACTTACTAGTTTCTCAGTCACTACTACACATACTAAGTACCTTGGTTTAGTTTAGGCTCATTCACGATCACGAGTCCCGTAACTCATTAGGGTCGAAGGGTAACCATATATGCCAAAGTCTTAATGGCATTTGGTGTATATTCAGGTTGGCTTTGAATTCAGTCAGGCTTCTAATAGATAGGTTGACCTAACACGGCTAAAGCGCCCAGTTCGACTTATGAATGCTTAAATTCAGAGATTTCTTTCTCCTATATTGGTTGCCCCAAAGAGTCCAGTCAGCCTTGTTACGGGCGTTGAAATTAAGAATTTTCTTTCTTCTAGACTAGTAACCTTAGAAAGCGAGGATAGCACAGTCAGATTTACTATGAGGATTTATATTCAGAGATCTCCTTCTCCTAGATTGGTTGCCCTAACAGAGCTAAACAGTCCAGTCAAACTTATTACAGGCGTTGGAATTTAGAATTTTCTTTTTCTTGGACTGGTTGCCCTAAAAAAAGATTAGAGAGTGCAGTTAGCCTTATTACGGGCTTTAAATTCAGATTTTTTTTTCTAGTAGACTTTTTCTATTCCAAATAAGGTTAAAGAGCCAAGCCAACCTTATTGTTGGGATTTACATTGGGCTATTTTTTTTTCTTTTTCACTGGATGTCCTAAAAATATTTAAGACCTCAGCCAGCCTCATTATGGGGGATTTAAATTCAGTTTCCTTTCTCCTAAACTAGTTGCTTGAAATCAGTTGGGCCCTGACCCGGAGTGGTCAGGGTCCCAGCTTTATTAATTACTATTTTTCCCAGAGTGGTAGCACCTAATTATAGTTGTTCCCGGAGTGGTATTACCTAACAGGTGCTACCACCCCGGATCAGGGTGGACCTGGGAACAACAGTGAAATTAGAGATGGTTCCATCCTGCTCAAAACCTCCAATTTACCAATCAGAGACCTTGCTGCCGGATGTAGTAAATCATCATACCCAGGACCAGTTTGGGTATTAAGCACTTCCTTTGTTCTTTTAAGTCTTTTCTCAGACACGAACTTACCAAATACAATCAACGAACATTCACACTTGTGATAATTGATCGTTACGCTATCAATATGGTTGATGCTGGTTCAACTTGCTTCATTTTGTCCTCGCACAGCTTCAGCAAATATTTACACCATATTTCTTTTGATTCGATGATTTCCTCTGAAGGTGATATAATTAAAGAATCTTCTACGCACAGAAGAGCTTCCTATGCCATCTATATAATTGTTTTTACTGCATCTTATTTTCACCCTGATTGTGGACATTGTCATGTGACAAAATCAGCGGCTGACTTCTTTGCACAGAAAAGCTTTGTTTCCTGTTTAGGATTGGGTTTCAGATTCACTCTTAAAACTTCTCATTTTCATTTTCTTTCACTTCCCAGTATGCCATTTTCTTTTTGTGGCATTGTCGCCGAGCTTTGGGCGAATAGTAGCCACCGAATAGTGACCTAAATAAAGAAATAGTATAGTGAATAGAATAGAGAATAGCAATCCGTATAGTAATAGAGGATAGAATAGAAATGATGATCTATCCGACATCAAGCTAATTCCCATATATACATTTCCACCATGGTCACGTGATCTACTTAATTCAATAATGGGGTCGCCTGTGTTTGCTCACTGGCGATCTATGTTCAAACTCCAGTATCGGCAGCGACACTTTATTTCTATATAACAGTATGCATAGAAAACATAAAAAAGTATGTATATATATATATATATCCCGTGGCAAACAACTAGCCCAAAACTAATAGATTTCATCAGTAATATAACAGATGAAGAAACAAATTTCCACCCCACAAAATGCCTACCATTAGGCCTACTAATATACAAAATACCTACCATTAGGCCTACTAATATACAATATTACAATTTTTAAATTTTTTTTATCATTTCAACCCAAGCAAGGCGACAGGGTCACTAGAAAGCAAGGATTACACGGAGTTAAAGTCAGTGAGAAACTTGAAAATGAGGAGGATTGAGGAAAGGGCAAAAAAGGAGCTGACTTCAAGGGGACAGAAGATGACGATTGACGTTGCATTTAAATTTTTGAATACTGTAATTGTCAGGGAAGCAAGGAATCGGAAATGAGTTCCACAGGTGTATAGTGCGAATCTCTAACGTTGTACAGCGACATTTTGTCGGGGTTCTACTAATTCTTAATCAAGATTTCCTTTTGATTCTTACCATAACAGAATCTCGGTAAATTTCGTTTATGTAGACATGTTTCAATCGTTCTTGGATCGATTCAGGATTTTCCTCGTTTTGAATTCTCATAAGAAATCATTCTTACGTCGCTAGTGATTGATTTCTTTAACGGGGGCAACAGAAACACGACCATTTTCCTTAAGTTCATGCTCAAAGTAATTTCCCACTTCTGACTAGTGTTTCCTTCTTCTACTGTCTGCTTCCTTTGATGCAACTGTGAGATCGTTATTCTACGACCGTTAGATAAATCATGTGGATCAGAGATAAAGAATAAGTCTACGGCGAGATCCGAACTCATATCCCCTCCCCTATTGAGACATGTTTTTCTGCCACAGCTCAGATTACTTTCGAGGTCGACACTTTTGCTATAGTGGTTTCTCAAATGTGCTAACTGCTAAACAGCTACGTTCCTTAACCTTTCTGTCTTTATTGTGAAAATAAAAGCAAATTCATGGAAGTTATTAAAATTTTATCTTTTACTACAAAAGAAAATGTAAAAATGTCTCATTTTAAGGTATTTCTTAAAGTATTGCAGGGTGTCCTCTATGTTTTTGTTTGTATTGCATATATACAACGACAGTCTGCTTCAGGTTTGAACTCCAATTTCCGGCCATTTGTTTTGATTCGACTATTTATATATGCTGGTCGATGGTCCATTAAAAATGCAGACACAAAAAAATTGATACTACGTTAATTAAAAATCGAAAACTAAAAACGAATTCCTTGGAAAATACCACCATGAAAAATACAAATATATCCATTATATACAATACAGATAACATACGCCAACAAAAAAAAACAAAATTTTTTTTCAAAAGATACGGGATATTAGAACGTTTTGTAGAGCTAATCAGTGTCGCTGTATCCGAAAATGTATTTAATTATGTTGAATTGTCTTTACCTTTCAAGATATTGAACATCAATAAATTTCAATGATTTAATTTTCTCTGAACATGCTAGATTTGATCTCTCTATTCTTCGATTTGTTTAGGTTAAGGGAGATAACTCTACCCAAGAAAGAGAATTCTTCACTTTGAGTACCGAAAATTACTTTTGTACAAAATACTTCGGAACAAGGAGAGAAATAAAATGGTTGCCATTTAAACACACAAAAGTAGATTGATTTTAATCCCTTTTCATCCAATTGCATCTAGTAAATATTGGTTTTATTAAAATACAATTTCTCTTTTATTTTACATTCTTTGTTTAACCTATCAGCCTGTGAGATATAACAATTTAGACATTGAGTCAGATTCCCTGAAAAACTCAATGATGTAAGCGAAGAAGAAGGATAACGTTTTTACCAAGACATCAAGAGGATGGAGGATCGGTAACAAAGCCATTGGAACTCCCAAATAATATACGTTTATTGCTGGAGCCCTATGCATGATTGCCCTCATAAAACTTACAAAAAGTAGTCATATAAGAGTAGCTTCCTTTAGATGAAGTAAAGTGCAATGATCTAGACAACTTGTAAGATATTATGTTGAATAGTTTAAATTACATATTTTGCTAGTTTACTTTTGGAGAGAAATTTGATTGGAAATCACATTTTTATTTTATAATTTTTCATTAATCTAAGGTAATATATGAAGATACAACTTGGAAATGTTCAAGGTCTTCTTTGTTCATTGTTGAAATAGCAGCATGCTGTAAGTAAATATAACATTTTAATTATTAATATACAATCAGAAAACTTAAATAAAAGTAATACATTTATTCAACATTATTTAATTACCAATTAATAGCCTAAATCGCATAATAATAATTAATAGCGTAATAATAATTAATAGTCTAAATAGCATAATAATAATTATTAGCATAATAATAAGTAATAGCCGAAATAGCATAATAATAATTAATAGCATAATAATAATTAATAACCGAAATAGAATAATAATAATTAATAGCCTAAATAGCATAATAATAATTAATAGCGTAATAATTATTAATAGCCTAAATAGCATAAAAATAATTAATAGCCTAATAATAATTAATAGACTAAATAGTATAATAATGATTAATAGCATAATAGTAATTAATAGCCTAAATAACATAATAATAATTAATAGCATTATAATAATTAATAGCCTAAATAGCATAATAATATTGAACTGCATAATAAGTAATAGACTAAATAGCATAATAAAGATTAATAGCATAATAATAATTAATAGCCTAAATAGCTTAATTAATAGCCTAAATAGAATAATAATAATTAATAGCATAATAATAATTAATAGCCTAAATAGCATAATAATATTTAATTGCCTAATATTAATTAATAGCCTAAATAGCATAATAATAATAATTAATAGCATTATAATAATTAGTAACCTAAATAGCATAATAATAGCCTAAATAGCATAATAATAATTAATAGCCTAATAATAATTAATAGACTAAATAGCATAATAATGATTAATAGCATAATAGTAATTAATAGACTTAATAACATAATAATAATTAATAGCATTTTAATAATAATAACCTAAATAGCATAATAATTAATAGCCTAAATATCATAATAATAATTAATAGCATAATAATAATTAATAGCCTAAATAGCATAATAATAATTAACTGCATAATAATTAACAGTCTAAATAGCATAATAAATATTAATAGCATAATAATAATTAATAGCCTAAATAGCATAATAATAATTAATAGCTTAATAATAATTAATAGCCTAAATAGCATAACAAATGCGGTTTTGTTGAAATATTCATTCACCAGTAGCACCTTAATTCAATTATTATCACTTGTACAGATTCGCAGACATGAAAAACTCATTTCATCATTACTTTAACACTGGAGCCAATTGAGCAAAAACAATTCGGCAATTCTAATCTACCCTAGAAACAGTGTCACATTTTTTTCCCTCCCATCCACAATTTGTTGTCCAGTGTAACATACCAAAGCCAACGCTTTAATCCAATTAAATAAGATAATTTCTCCCATTAAAAAATAAATAAAAAAAACAACAAAAACAATAAACCAAAATATACATAAATAAATAAGTAAATAATAAACATATTAAGAAAGTACGAATGCAGACATGAACACAAATAAATGTAATAAATAATGAAAAAATTTAACAAAAAACACTATAAGATCCATAATTATATCTATTCAGTAGCCCTTAGAATAAATTGAAGCATAACCGTTACCGCTCACCTAATTATACAAAAAAATCTTATTACCCATAATGCACCATTGAATATCATATAGAAAAAGTCAAACCAAAACACAATACACACGACCTGAAGATAGCATTGGTGTATGAAACATGCTGTACGAGGGTGTCATTTGTTTATCAAGGGTTTTAAATTTGAGAACGTTCATGGATGTTCATCAGGTGGTTGAAAGGTCAGTCAAAACATATGGAGGACACAAAATGCCATAATTCAAAGTCAGAAAAAAAGTATTTTTTACGCGCTTATAATATCTATCTATCTATCTATCTATCTATCTATCTATCTATCGCTTGCCGTACGATCACCGAAGTTAGACAACGGTGATCCTGGTGATTTTCTAGATGGATGAGTGCTTGCGAATAACAGGTGCTGTAAGCCAGGATGTGCGGATGGTGCAATTTATACCGGCTCGAATATATATATATATATATATATATATATATATATATATATATATATATATATATATATATACATTCTTAGCGGTACAAAACTTGAGTATTGCTATAAAGACATTAGCTGAATATTAATATATATATATAATAAAAATGAAAGAGGTAAACAACCGGTTTGCGAGACTTGATATACATTGACTCCAGTATTTGAAGTGAAATAAAGAGTGTGACTGGAACAAAATCGTAAACACTAAATTCAGCTGCACACCTTCTGTTCTTTATAAGGTGCTCAAAATTGAGGATCCATAAGTGTTTTGGAGCTGTTCATTTTGAACCAAGGTATGATTCCTAATCTTAATTGGCACGTGTTGTTTTATTCGTGCATCTAGTCGTTGGCTTGTCTTCCCTATGTAGTTGACTCCGCATCCATAATTGTATTTATATATAACAGACTTCACTTGATGAGGGCGTGGGCATCCTTACGAATAGAAGAGAGGATCGGCCTGGTATTGAATACGACACGAACATCAGCGGAAAAATAAAACTTACGGACACTATAAGAAATTTGCTTGAATAAGTTTTCACAGTCAGCACTAATCCAAGGAAATCCCAAATAAACAGGGTACCTTTCCATCGTAGCGAGCTTAAACTTTTCACGGATGACAGAACAACATTAGGTGAATACACATTGTTACATAGAGTCCTCATCACAAATTCGATTCCAGGAAAGCGGCTCAGAACAGATCATCGACGCCCTATGAGTCAGAGTTTTGGTGAGGGTTATCATCAGCTTCTTTGGACAAAAGGAATCCCAGCGCTTATACAACCCGGCAAAGGTAGACTTCCTATGTACTCAGGTCAAAAGCGATGCTGAAGTACGGTGAACCAATACATCTAAAAAGGCATTTTGGAAATTAGACTCTTTCTCAACCGTAAACATCAGAACTGGATGAAGACTATTGAGAGAGGAGAGAAATTGATCCGCCTCAACTTAACAAGAATGATCTTCGACATACCGACAATATAATTGTGGACGAAATGAACTTCTAAGCAATCTATCCTCATGAAAATCGACAAATATATTTGCCAGTTCAGGGCCCAAAGAGGAACCCATGGCAACACCATCAATCTCTCGATACATAATGTTATTAAAGCTAAATTCAACAGAAGGGGTGGCAAATTTCATCAACACTTTTTCAGGAATATCTGAGCTGCGATAAAGAAAATCACAAAAAATATTAATCTTCAAGAGAGGAACACAAGTAAATAAAGAGCACACATCAAATGAAGACATGAATTTGTCAGAAGAGGAACAATTCTGGATACGATCTGTAAAGGAAAAAGAATCCTTTATACAGAAAGAACTATAGTGTTTTAAAACAGGTTGCAACACTATAGCGAGCCATTTGGTGACCTTATCATAGAGAGTATGGGTCTTAAAAGTACCCCATGCTTATGGATTTTTGGAAGGCCATAGAGACTGAGTCGGATTAAGTCAGAAGGTCTAATTTCCTCACAAACTTCGAGGGAAAGAATCCCACTTTTTACCCACTCCAAAAGTTGTTTTTGAAATTTTGTTTCTATTAAAGTAGTAGCGATATCTTAGCAACATAATCCGTGTAGACAACTCCAGCACCTTTATCAGGTCTGGAAATCATTAAATTATGGTTATTCTTTAACAATCTAATAATACACCAGTGTTCACTTCTCCACACACACACACACACACACACACACACACACACACACACACACACACACACACACACATATATATATATATATATATATATATATATATATATATATTAAATATGTGGTGCAGTTCAATTTATACTACATGAATCATTCACACAAAAAGTAGATTAGTAAAGTAAATGATATAATTGGCGAAAAACATCTTCGCGAACAAATTTATTAAAGTTACATTAACCCACGAACCACTCGATGAATCTTATGATATTTCGATTTGCATTTAATTTTTCGTACCCGCTATTACATGGATATACTAAAAAAAGCAAAAAAAAAAAAAAATTCCATGCCTGAGGATGGCTGAATGTACAGCCGAATGTACTATCTATATACGAAAGTATATATATATATATATATTAGTGGTCAATATATATATATATATATATATATATATATATATATATATATATATATATATATAATATTAGTGGTCAATATATATATATATATATATATATATATATATATATATATGTGTGTGTGTGTGTGTGTGTGTGTGTGTGTGTGTAAATCCAAGAGGATAGAATCCAGGTAGAACTCAATGTCCAGGACAGAGTAAGAATATAATATAAAAGGTTCAAACACTAATATTCCGTGGTTATAATTTATTACATTGGAATCGTAATCACGATCCAATTAATCAGACCTACAAATTCAAAAAGAAAAGTGATTAACGCATCTGAAAATAATTCATATTTATCTGTATCTCACACATTTAATCCGTTAACTAACTCATCTCTGTTAAATTTTAATCCCCACCTTCACCTTTAGGCATTCCTGTTCTTCTTTTTTCTGTTACACCCTCTCTCTCTAACCCTAACCCTAACCCTCGCTTTCATACATTTCCTTCTCACACTTGTCTCCCACTCCCACACATACACTCTCACTCAAATTTTGCTTTTTATACCCGGAGTTATATTTTCCGATTTCTTTTTGAATTTGTAGATCTGATGATTTGGATCGGGATTAAGATTCCAATGTAATAAATTATAACCATAGAATATTAGTGTTTGAGTCTTTTATAATATATATATATATATATATATATAATTATTTATTTAAAAATATCATTCCATCGCTACATAAGAGTTCTCATGTTTCAAAACAAGCCCGATAACTTCAATATAATTATTTGAATTAAATTGAATTAAAGCACCAAGCTCTGTTTCATCTTCAAGCGAAATTTTTTTTTGAATAACTAATTCCTGAAGTTTACGCGTTTTATAAGCATAGTCATTATTAAAGTTAAAATTACTATGGTAACGGCTAGAGCAATTAATTTAAAAAAAAGGGGGCGTAAGGGTTAATAATTTGTATCAATATCTCAGTTACATTCAAAGAGGTCATGTCAGGGTAAGTTTGGGGTGTCTATATTCAAAGCGGAAGATGACATCGTCTAGTCTGGTCAAGTGTTTATGGAGATTTTTTTCTTTTATTTTTTTCCTGAAAGGGTTTTGCGTATATATATATATATATATATATATATATATATATATAAAATGTCATAATTCGCTAACATTTGTTTTTTTGACGATTTCATAAAGGTTTTTTTTGGGTGGCGAGTAGGGCATTTAAACTTTTTATTTAGACTATTAAACTCTTATGTAGCGATGGAATCATATTTTTAAATAAATAATTATATTTATGCTCTACTTTTGTATCGATCACTGTTTTTTAAAAATAACAACAAAAATACTAAAGAACTTTGGATTATTTACCTAGCGAGTTCTTTCCTATTTTGTATATATTTTTACACACACACACACACACACACACACACACACACACACACACACACATATATATATATATATATAATTTTAAAATAATTTATAAGCCCTAAGAAAATGTTGTACCGCCGACAGATTGTTTGGTAAGGTTATTTTAATGTGGCACAAGGCTATAGTAAGGATGAAGACTGCTTCAAGATAGAAGATGAAACAGGTTAAAATGAGGATCAATAATGTGTATGACAGACAGATATCAACAAGACGCAATTTGTTAATGCGCTGAAACAACGAAACAGAAAAAGAAGGGAGAGTGAGCGAGCGAAAGAGAGAGGGGCAGAGAGAGAGAGAGAGAGAGAAAGAGGGGCAAAGATAGAGAGAGAGAGCGAGAGAGGGGGGAGAGAATGAGCGATAGAGAGGAGGGAGCTTAGAGAGAACGAGATAGAGAGTGAGCGAGCGAGAGCGTGATGGAGAGAGAGAGCGAGGAGTGGAAGAGATAGATATAGAGGGGGAGAGTAAGCGATAGAGAAGGGGAGAGAGAGAGAGCAAGAGAGAGGGGCTCAGAGATAGAGTGAACGAGTGATAGAGAGTGAGCGAGTGGAACTGAGTGAGGCAGGGAGAGGGGAAAGTGCATGATAGAAAATAGAGAAAAAGAAGAAAAGAGTATTTATTAATCTAGCTAATGACCATTTCTCATCTGCCGGTCACTCATTTATGCTGACCTCTTCCTATTGCCGTAATTACGAATAATGCCAGAAGCAAAATGGCAACCATTCCTCGTTGCAACCTATTAACTCTTATCAGCTGCATTGTTTGTGCCTTGTCCAAATTCTGTCCACATTTCTGTATAGACGTCGTTCAAACAATTTAGGCCCGGTCTTGTTTTCTATTCACACACACATACATGTTTGTGATAACGATATATATATATATATATATATATATATATATTGAATAATATAAATTGAATCTGATGAAGTCCGAAAGGACGAAACGCGTCATATCAAAACATTCTCACACTTTGTCATAAAATTTCCCCAATACTGCTGTTGAGAGATAATACATACATATATATATATATATATATATATATATATATATATATATATATATATATATATATATATAGATAGATAGATAGATAGATATTAGATAAGATTAAAAATATGTAAAAATATTGTGATTTTCTTTCTTCTTTTAATGATAATGCTATTAAGGTTATCAGACGATATGAAAAGAATTTACATAAAATAAGTAGACAAAACTTGTCTATATTATTTACTGAAACATGTATTAATGAAAAAATGCTGCCTAAATACTCACACACACACACACAATATATATATATATATGAAGAAAAATATGTAAAAACAAAAATCCGAATATGCAAGTATGCTGTTTGAATGTCGACGTCAGACGTTTCGGTCTAGTAGACCTTCTTCAGGACATAGTTATTAAAACATAATTAAAATTAGACGATATTCAAGTCAACATGAAAAGACGATAGACATAAAAGTAATCAAAACAGAATAACTGAAATTTTTAAGATCAGCGTTCCGTTTCGCAATACGATCACGTCGGCGTCACGTGGGCGATGTTGTGAAAAAGTATTCCTAAAATAGAGTATATTTTAAATAAAAAAGAATTTTATTTTAATCTAAAATTTATAAGTACGTTTGTCCAGCATTAATCTTCCCAGAAAAGGGGAAATATTAGAGAAACCAGGTCTAGTGTTCACCGTGCGTGAGACAGATATTATGCCTGCCTCATAAATCCGTCAAAGATTTTTATTATGAATATATTTTAAAATCTTCACAGAATCCAAATCGAAATTATGATCAGATTTAGTTATGTGAATACTAGACCCGGCTTCTTTAATATTTCTTTAATTTCATTAAAATCTGACAATTATTTGATTTCTGCAAGAATTTCCAAATTAATGTGTCTGTCACCACAAAAATGTGAAAACTTGCTATGCTAAAAGTTAGTACAACCACTAACGTAAGAGAAACAGGTTTTTAATGAAAATTTCGAATGTTCTAAAAAAAAAAGAAAATGAGTAAAAAATTTAATAAAATAATCAAAAAATAATTTGATCCTTCCACTTAATAATAACAACGATTTTGACGATAAAACAATGTTTTCATTATGTTTGGAGAATGTTTTCATCACGGTATGCTGATTGTTTTAGCAATCTCATGGCAGTATTAAACAATGTTCTAAATATTTAAAAAATATTTTTTGGAATATTAAAAAATATTTTTAATATGACAAAAAATATTTTTAAATATTTAAAATATTGTTTGTTTAAAGAAAGCTGAAATATAAATAAGCACGCACGCAACAGAGAGGTGGAAAGAGAGAGAGTGGTGGAAAGAGAGAGAGTGGTGGAAAGAGAGAGAGTGGTGGAAAGAGAGAGAGAGTGGTGGAAAGAGAGAGAGAGTGGTGGAAAGAGAGCGAGGTAGAAAGAGAGAGAGAGTAGTGGAAAGAGAGAGAGGTTGAAAGAGAGAGAGAGTGGTGGAAAGAGAGCGAGGTGGAAAGACAGAGCGAGGTGGAGAGAGAGAGAGGGAGGTGGAAAGAGAGAGAGAGGTGGAAAGAGAGAGAGAGAGTGTGGTGGAAAGAGAGCGAGGTGGAAAGAGAGAGGTGGAAAGAGACAGGTAGAAAGAGAGAGATGAAAAGGGAGTGGTGGAATGACAGAGTTGGATGGAAAGAGAGAGAGGGGTGGAAAGAGAGAGAGAGAGGTGGAAAGAGGGAGAGAGGTGGAAAGAGAGAGGTGAAAAGGGAGAGGTGGAAAGAGGAAGCGAGGTGGAAAGAGGGAGAGGTGGAAAGAGAGAGGTGAAAAGGGAGAGGTGGAAAGAGAGAGGTGGAAAGAGGAAGCGAGGTGGAAAGAGAGAGAGTTGGAATGAGAGTGAGGTGGAAAGAGAGAGGTGGAAAGACAGAGCGAGGTGGAGAGAGAGAGAGAGGTGGAAAGAGAAAGGTAGAAAGAGAGAGATGAAAAGGGAGTGGTGGAAAGACAGAGGTAGGTGGAAAGAGAGAGAGAGAGGTGGAAAGAGAGAGGTGAAAAGGGAGAGGTGGAAAGAGAGAGGTCGAAAGAGGAAGCGAGATGGAAAGAGAGAGATGTGGAAAGAGAGAGAGGTGGAAAGAGAGAACGAGGTGGAGAGAGAGGTGGAAAGTGGAGTTAGGTGGAAAGAGAGAGATAAAGAGAGAGAGAGAGAGAGAGAGAAAGAGAGGTGGAAATAGCAAGAGAAGTGGAAATAGAGAGGTGGAAAGAAACTTAGATCATTATTATGCGCCGGGCGGATGGACGCACCACTCAAGCACACACACACCAATCACAGACATTTGGCATTAAATAGAGAGATGAACAGAATTTCTACCAATAAAATGCTCAGTAACTATTTAGAGTAGTAATTATTGTATAAAAATAATGCGAGTTCATAATAAGTATTAATTTCTTATCTTCTTCTTCTTCTTCTATGTGCTGTATACCTTCAGAACGTAGGCGATCATGGTTCTCCACAACTTCCTTTTCTTTGTAGCTCTCTATATCCTTTGTCTTTTAGCCATCCCTTCCATCCCCGTTCTGCTATCCCTTTGCACAAGATCTTCTGGTCTCTTTCCGATTCTGAATATACTGAAGTGTCGTTTTTCCATTTTCTTTATGATAACTATTTATTCCAGCTATGATACAGAATTCACACACGATAGACAATAGTATATCGTACATACATTAGCAACAGTAACAAACAATTAAACTGACGTTTCGAACGCAAAGAAAGAAAAACAAAATAATATTCAACAGATATTCAACAGAAGTCTTTTTAAAATCGTTTCAACCCAAGGAAGGCAATAAAACTACTAAGACGCAATAGTGTTATAGAATATGAGATAAAAAGTACTATTAAGGAGAGAGAACAATAAAAATACAAGAATTTAAATTTTTGAACATCATAGTTGACTGGAAAGCAAGATGCCGGAGGAGAATTTCACAAACGAGAAGTGCGAGAGAAGAAACTCTTACCATAGAACTTACGGTTACATCTAACCATTTCAACAGTAAAATGATGAGACCTTTCCGCCAACCAAGTACTGCGTTTAAATTTATAAAGTCCAGATACCACAGAGGAAAATTCATCAGAAGAAGAAGACACAGGGAAGCTATGTTAGGGAAAGGGACTGAAGCCTTGATGCCAGGTTAGCAACAATAACATTGCAGATTCTTCTTTGGATTTTATCAAGAATCTCTAAATATACAAGGCACACCGAACTATTACAAGCTGAAATTTGTACTGTTTATTTATCATAAAGTATAAAATTATATGGAAAACTGACATTCATCGACTAGTTAATACTAATTTTATTGTGAAAACATTGACTTACATAATGAATTTATATAAATAGTGCATTCATGTATTGAACAAATACTACGTCGCCTCCAAGTGTAGGCGGCTAGCGTTGTTAGGTATTGGTCAATAATTTCACCCATGCAGTAAACAGCGCATTGAACTTGCTTATTTCACCGGAAGCCAGAATGACTGCTCTCCAATCTGATACAGCTGTCATTTATGAAACTGTTTCCGGGGTCAAGGTTGGACACGTTCTTGCATCTGCTTTTAAAGTAAATTACTGTGGCAAATCATTTTCCGTCCTTATGCTGGTGTTTTTAAAGCTTTTCTAAATGAATCTCAGGAAGTATAAGGTGGGGGGAAAAAGTTCGTAGCGTCGATTTTCAACTCCCGATTTCGTTTCACACGCGACAGAAATCTATGACATATACATATTCTGAAAGTGGCATTCTAACACGTCTTTCTGCACGATTCATGTATGAATCATGAATTTTAAAGGATTTTTTCGTTAAAAAGTGGGAAAGGATATAAATCCGATGCATTTTAGCCATTTGAGCGAAAAATACTGTACAAACAGCAAAAAGCGATACGCGCAGTTTATGGAAATGATTCTGTAGATGAAAGTAATGTTAGTTAATTTGTTTGTTAGGTTCAGAAGTGGAAATAACAATGCGGACCGAAAAAAATTCTCGCGGCAACGAAATGAGCCACTATTAACCACTAAAATAGTCGATATGGATCTGAAGAAAGTGAATATGTGTCCAATAGTTCGAACTCGTCTGGAAATGAGGAAGACACCTGTCAAAATTAAGTTGAGAGCCATAAGTAATTTTCGCTTTGGATTGATTGGTTGGCTGGTCGGTTGATTGGTTGGCTATTTGGTTAATTGGTTGGATGGTTCGCTATTGTTTTGTTGGCTGGTTGGTTGGTTAGTTGATTCATTGGCTATTCGATTGATTGGTTGGTTTGGTTGGCTGGTTGGCTGGTTGGTTGGTTGTCTATTTGATTTATTGGTTGGTTGGCTATTTAATTGATTGATTGGTTGGCTGGTTGGCTATTTGATTGATTGGTTGTCTGGTTGTTGGTTAGTTGGTTGGCTATTTGATTGATTGGGTGGTTAGTTGGTTGGTTCGTTGGTTAGTTGGTTGATTGTCTCTTTGATTAATTAGTTGGTTAGTTGGATGTTTGGCTATTTGAGTAGTTGGTTGGCTTGTTGGTTGGCTGATTGATTGATTGGCTATTTGGCTGGCTGGTTGGTTGGCTATTTGATTTGATGGTTAGTTGGTTGGTTGACTATTTGATTGAATGGTTGGTTGGTTAGTTGGTTGGTTGCATGGCTATTTGATTGATTGGATGGTTAGTTGGTTGGTTGTCTGATTTATTGGTTGGTTAGTTGGCTGTTTGGCTATTTGATTGGTTGGTTAGTTGGTTGGCTATTTCATTGATTGGTTGTTTCTTTAATTGGCTATTTAATTGATTGGTTGATTATTTGGTTGGTTGATTGGTTGGTTAGTTGGTTGGTTGGTTAGTTGGTTGTCTATTTGATTTATTGGTTGGTTAGTTGGTTGGTTGGTTGGTTGGTTGATTGGTTTTGCTTAGCAGCAGATCAACACCTCTATGGGTGAAAATCTAAAATTTCTATGCTGAAATCTAAATATTTTGAACACAATTTTATGACTTCAACTAGATATAATTTGAGCGCAATTGTATGTCTTCAACTACAAATAAAATTCTTTTTAGTCATTTTGCTATAAGATATATTGCTGTTAATTTTACTATATAAAATATATTTCTTATACTTTCATAGGTTTTTGTATGGGGTTCATTATTTTCCCATAGCTTGGGCCCTAACAGGTGCTACCACCCCGGGACAGTGTGGTTCTGGGAACAAAAACAATTAAGAGGTTGGTGCACGCTCCTCAAAGCCTCCAATCTCCCGATCAGAAGCCTTTCAATGTAGTTTAATAGTCATACTCAGGACTTCCGTTTTGGAGAAACAGAAATAGCTTGATGTATCTGTTACTCGTTGTTCCTCTTTGCCTCTCTTGCCTTTAATAAGTCCTGTAGGCATCAAATTCTCCAAGTCCTCCTTTCTCATTATGAGAAATTTCAACTGCCTGTTTCTGTATAAGCGTCTTTTTTGTTTGTATTTCTTTTAAAATTTCCTCGTTATTCACATGTTACGTCCATCGTATTCTCAGTATCCTTCTGCATAACCACACCTTTGAACAGGAGTAGAGGTTCATCCTTTGCTTCCTGTTTAGGATTGGCTTTTCGGTTCCTTCTAAAATCTTCTCATTATTTTTCTTTGACTAGTATCCCTTTGTGTTTTAGTGGCATTGTCGTCTTGCTTGGGGTGAACTGATTAAAAAAAATAATAAAAAAATAAACAAACATATCTCTGTTGGCTTGTCGTCTTTTCGCCTGTGAGGAAAGTGTCCAGCATTCATGACTATATCGGCAGATTGTTATTACATTTTATTTTAGCGCCCCTTTCGTTGATTCTACCGATTTTTTTTCTGTTTCTTAATACTTTGATTTATTTTTGGAAGGCATCGTTCGTTATTCCAGTACGCCTTAAACACAAGAATAGTGATGCTGGCAATTTAGCCACCCAAAAACAAGTCGTAAAGGTGAAAGTTCTTGGCACAATAAGACAAATTGTCGGCAGAGGTTGCTAAGATCTACGTTAAAAACGAATCTTCTGTCTTCCTAGAACTTATATTGCAGGATATTGTTTTATTCACATTATTTACATTCGGACTATTGCCCTCATCTTTTTGGTTATATAATGTTTCGAAAGTGTGCCATTCGTCTATCTTCAGGTGCTTCTCGATCCGAGTAAACTCTAGAGACTCCACAGGAACTAGCTTAAATGTTACACGATAGGACTGCTTTTAAGCTAGTTTAAAATAAGCCCATTGAACCATGAAAGTAACGATAATGGCTAGTATAATATATTAAAATATATTTTTAACCTCACATAATCTGGCAACCCTGAATCTGAGCTCAACGAAAATCATTCCCTGCGGCTAATTTTTCCAGGGCTTTTGAATGAACTATGATTCATTAAAATCGGACCAGTTGGAGCGGAGGTGTTGCTTGGACACACATACGCACAAACACATATGCATTGTACTTTATATATAAGATTGTTGCACATTAAAATCCTTATATTTGTATTGGTAATATCTATTAGACGACGAAACACGTCAGCTTTTCATTTTGTCTTTATTCATATTGTCTTTTTACAGATATATTTTTAGTTACATCTGTAGTATGGTAAATTAAATAGTAATGCAATTTGTTTTATTATATAATAAGGAAATCGATCAAACATATCGTTCATCGAGATATATAGCTATATACAAAACAGGTTCACAGCTATACTTTACGCAGTCACTCACTCTTTTAATCACAGTGTTCCGTCTACGAGTAAGTTCATGTATTCCAACTTTATAAAACTCGGGTGACTGCTCAGTCTTAACCACATTCTAGTTTATATTAACGATCTGCTGAAGAACATTCTTTGTAAATATATATGTAGATGATGCCACAGTTTATAAAAATCTAAAGGAACAGAGTCTGGCGGCTGTCTCTCACTTGACAAAGCTCTAACAACCCAATGGTGTGGGGGGGGACTAGCATGTAATTTTCATTTCTTTAAAAAAGAAGAAGGTAATTTGTCATCATCACCAATCTGACCCTATATTCTCACAAGACACGATGAACGGTCGCCCTCACAAAGCTTTCTTGCTTTTGGGCGAGGGACTCAAGTTTGTACCTGACGGCAAGTTGATCACGCATCGGTAATGATGCTGGACAAAAGGTCGCCACAGAGAGTAGCTGATTCTACCTTCCATGCTATATCTTTTCAAGAGCCAAATAAGACTCCAAAATGTATTGCTACCATTTCTGGGTTGGATCTGCCGAACGCTCTCTTCATAGCCTTGACAGAGTTCAAAAGTGTCTAGGCGGCCTTGTGGGTGATTAATTATTTTCCATCGTCCAACCTCTTACCTACAGAAGCTACATCGCGTGCCTATCGTTAATCTATCGCTATTTTCAAGGAACATATTCGGACGAGCTGCATTCGCTAGTTCTACCACTACAAACATTTACAGCTACGACCCGTCGTAGTATATACATATCTTTATTTCCTATGTATTCCACTGAAGAAGTTCCATTCGGGTAGCCTCTTCCAAAGAACCATTATTTTATGGAACAAACTCGCGCGAGAATGCTTTCCCGATCATCATAACCTCTTCAAATCTAGGCTTAACTCTTGCCTATCCTACATATCCTAATCCACATAATCTGCATATACTTTTTCCTCTTATGTCCAAAAAACAACCTCAGTTAACAAGCCTCTGCCTTGAGTGCTTCTCGGGCTTTTTATTGGGTAAACATTTAGTAAAAAACAGGTTCGCTAGTTATTTATTAGGTTATCAACAAAATGGCTTAACAACCATTTACCGATAACTGGTAATTGAAATTGAAAAAACGAAGACAAAGCAAAGAAATAAAATTAAGCATAGCGTTTCAAATACTGCCACGTCAAAAGTCACGGACGAAGTTAACTGTCGAATGAAGTATCGGTTCAAGTTAGTTTCAAATCATATCAAAGAAATATTTCGGGCGTCGTCTCGAACGAAGTGAGATATCCCGGGCGAAGTCTCGGACTAAGTGAGATATTTCGCGTAAAGTCTCGGATCAAGTGAGATAACCCAGGCAACGTCTAGGACCAACTGAGATATTTCGGGTGACGTCTCGAACCAAGTGAGATATTTCAGGCAAAATATTAGATCAAGTGAGATATCCCTGACGAAGTCTCAGACTATGTGAGATATTCAGGGCTACGTCTCGAACCAAGTGAGATATCCTGGACGACGTCTCAGACAAAGTGAGATATTCAGGGCGACGTCTTGAACGAAATGAGATATCCCGGACGACGTCTCAGGCCACGTGAAATATTACGGGTGACGTCTCGAACCAAATGGGATATCCCGATCGACGTCTCGAACCACGTGTGATGTTTCGGACAAAGTCTTGGACTAAGTGACATATCCCAGTTAACGGCTTGAACCAAGTGAGATATAACGAGTTACGATTCGCATCATGTGAGATATCTGGGGTCTCGAACGAAGTAAGTCCCTCTCCTCAAGACGAAAATGCAAACTTCTTTGTTTCATCAAACAGAAAATAAGCAAAGCAAACGAATCAACTCACTAACACCCCAACCCAAACCCAAATACCTTAGCCTACCTCGATTTCCAATTAATTCTTCTACGTGATTTGTAACATAAAATGATGACATCATTGCTGAAACTTATTTCCATCGGACTAACTTTTCTCATATCCACTATTTGGTCTCTTTAAACGTTCAGTCTGCATCGATGGATATCAACGAGTGCATTTTTTTTTCTGCATGAAGGTCAATGATACAGCTCTTTTTCGTTGTCACTTTTATGTCAGGTGTCATTCTGCCAGAATGCAAGCAAAAACTGTTATTCGTGGGAAAGTTTAATCCTTTCATGGCTATATCCTCAACATTCGTTGCTGTTGTCGTGTGCCAAATATCTTAAGATTAGAGGCATTACTTTCGGAGCGATACCCCCACACCTGTATGTATAAATTATAGTTTATCACTAATGCTTCTATATTGAATAAAACTGCACTAACATAACGCCTTTATGTTTGTTTTACTGCGGGCCGACACTTGTTTTTATTTTAAATAGCCATTGTATATTTTATATCTTTACTTACCTACTTCTTTTATTCCGAAACAAAACTTGTTTGGATAGAACCTGCAAAGAGAAACAGAGAGAGAGAGAGAGAGAGAGAGAGAGAGAGAGAGAGAGAGAAAGAGAGAGAAAAATGAGAGAGAGAAAGAGAGAGCGAGAGAGAGAAAGAGAAAGTGAGTGAGAGAGAGTGAGATTCATCTGTTTATATTTTTCTATTTTTACAACATATGCATAGTCTAATTCTATTCAAGATTGCTTACTTTATGTCACCCCGTTACTTTTTAACTAGTAAGTAAAGCTGAGATGCCGTGTTAAAACACGTATTTACACTGCCTTTGTTCGCGCCTGTTAGTGCCTACGCATGCGTATTGTGTGCGTGTATGTTTGTCGGGTCCTTGAAAGACTCTTGGTATAGTGTGTTTAAGAGTTAATGCACGTATTTGTCCGAATATATTTTTATATTTGTCGGCATTATTTGTTGATTTCTCTTCAGTGACTGCCTCTTGAGAATAATCAATGTTTTGTATTTTATTGTATTTTACTTTATATTCCCTTTACGTGAGTATTGTAAGACTTGGGCGACAAAAAACGGTCTACAATATTTGAAGGATCTTTCTGAGGGTGATGTCAACAAGAGGTTTTACAATATGTTTTATCAAAGGAACGGACCCCGTCTTCATATAATATATAAAATATCTTTTTTATTGACTCTCTTGAAGATTTGCTTTTAATAAGGGACATATTATTTGATATATAAACCAGCTGGAGTTTTATTATCATATGAGAATTTTTTAAATCATTTCACCCCAAGCAAGGCAATACAGCTACTAAGACGCAAGGGGTTACTGAGTGTGACGGAATGTAAGAAATAAGAAAAAACATCAAAGCTTGAGATCAATAGAAGATAGAAGATAACGATTGACATCGCATTTACATTTTTGAAATTCAAAGTATAGACCACAGAGCCCAACTGTAGTTTATACTGCAACTATGCTGAGCAGACCTTAGTTACAGTTTCTGGGAGAGAGCGAATCATCTGGCGGGATCAATATTTTGAACAAGGCCAGTACTCAAAGATCCTCGGTCACAATAACTTGCGATTTCGTGCTAGCATAAACCAACGACGAACAATTCCGTCCACCCAATTTCACTCACAAGGATTGCAGGAAGCCATTGTATGGTGTTCAGACACCCCCATATATATATATATATATATATATATATATATATATATATATATATATATATATATATATATATATATATATATATATATATATATATATATATATATATATATATATATATATATATATATATATATATATATATATATATATATATATATATATATATATATATATATATGTTTTGTTGAATAATATACACATATTCTATTTACTTATGATCATTTCAAGTTGTCTAATTGGTTTCTTGGAGGAAACAATTGCATGGTGTTCAGACATTTTCAAACACACACACATATATATATATATATATATATATATATATATATATATATATATATATATATATATATATATATATTTTTTTGTTGAATAATATAGACATATCCTATTTAATTACATTGATCTTTTCAAGTTGTCTAATTGGTTTCTAGATATTGAGATGAAATCCAACGAGGAAAGCGCCTTAGTTTGTTTTTTTGTTTAACCCAAGTATTTTCGACATTTTCTAAGATCATCTTCAGGAATAAATTTATTTCTAACTGCGTTAAACTGAGAGACACGGGTTAACATGTGTTTGTAAAGTTCAACACAGCTTTAAACAAAAATATGCTGCCTATATATATATATATATATATATATATATATATATATATATATATATATATATATATAATGACCGTTCAGGTCGCCTGAAGACTGTGGTAGCGTGAAACTCAGTAGCGGTCTGAAATTTTTTGAGTCTCGCTGGGTAGAAAGCACTGCCTTTAACTGTGTATGTATTTTTTTTTTTTTACTTTTCAGTTTAATTTTTCTTATGGTTTGTTTAATGGCATATCAACTCCTTATCGATTATTTAAGGCCGGAATTTAATTTTTATTAATTTTCTTTACAAATAATGTATTGTTGGTAGTTTTTTTTTCAAAAATGTATTGCTGGTAATTTAAAAAAAAATGTGTTGCTGTTATTTTCATTATAAAAATATATTTTATACTTTCATTGTGTTTTTACCCCTCCCACCCCCCAAAAAAACTTCGACCGTTATACGCTCCGGCCTTCTTTAGGCGATCGGAATTTCGTCCACCAGGACAGATTCTTCTATTTCCACGTCTCAGTTATCTCTCTTTAACTCAACTCTCACAAGTTTTTGTTCACCACTGGAGATGCCAGATATTGAACTTACAAATCTTTGGGTTATGTTACTCGATTCTACCAACGATTATATCCGCTGGGTCATGTGTCCATGAAGACAACAGTTCGGACAATGTAAATAATATAAATAATTACAATGAAATATATATTCTTATAGTTATTGGTTTGTATTTTTATCTTTTTTGGTCATTTGACAGGATTTGTGTTGATTTCACCCATATATAAATGCTTGTTAGTGTAGCTCAAGAAACACTATCTATGACAATTGCTTGTCATCTCAGTGCAGAAAAAAAATGTTAAAAAATTAAAAAAAATTGAAAAAACACAATCGTTCGGCAGGTTTTTGTTCCACATGTCTTGTCATTCCAACATTTCAATGGTGAATTCTTGGCCAGAATTTATCATGGCTTCCAATTAGAAGTTAAGCCATTTGTCAGTGTGTCACTGTGTCACACTTTTTCATCTTTACTTCTAGAAGCCGTAGCCCAACACATTATACCATTTTGAAATAAGTCCGACTCTGTGAGCAAATTAAAAACTTTCCAGGACGGATCCAGACCCGCAATCCTGAAATTTTGGATTCCCAAGTTTCTGTTACTGTGATTGTTTCCGGCGATTTTTACGTGATCTTTTGCGAGGAAATTTTTGTACGTTAACAAATTTTATAACTTGGAAATAAATTTGAGAATAATTGAAATTAATTGCGAAATTCATCGAAAGTCACCCTGAAATAAAATAACTGTTTGTACGGAAAGTAAGGTCTTACGTATATCAAATTGTCTTTAAATTCAGTGGCGACAGAAGAATAATAATCGAACTTTTAAAAGGTAAGCTTAAATATTAACGCAATACATAAATACAGCGATCAATTTTGAGTTCTTCTATAGTTTATTGCTGTCTATCGCATCTACTCCACCTTCACTTTTGTGATGAAGGACCAATCAAGAGCCCTCTACATGAGTTAGCAAATGCCGCCCGATAGGGCGGCTATTAATCCAGTATATATATATATATATATATATATATATATATATATATATATATATACAAATGTAAAAGAACGAAGAGTATTATTTTAGCGTTCAAAACATTCATTTTAAAACAGGGCTCAATACAAAAGTAGAGCAATAAATATTTATTTATTATGCTGTGTTACATTAGAACATGCACATATCCACTACAAAACTGTACATCTTGTTTCAACATTAAATTTTTTTTTACGTTTCATCAGGTGGGAAATCACGATGCTACTAAAAAAATAACGTTGAAACAAAATGTACAGTTTTGTAGTGCATGTTCTAATGTAAGACCACAATATATATATATATATATATATATATATATCCATTCAACTGATGTCAGGTTTCATTGTAAAATACATCCCTACCCCTTACCAAATTGTAGCTAATAACTGATACAATGATACTGACATAAGGAAAATCTAGACATCCCTTGTTCAATTTAAGTAGAATATTCTGTAACCATGGAAACGTGATTTTAGCTGTGTCTTTAAAACCCGGTAATTTTTAAAAGTTACTCCAAAAGTCGCTTGAAGATGAAATGGAACTAATGCTTTTAATTTAATTGCAAAATTAAATTCGGGGTTTTTAGCTTCTATTTTTGAAACATGGTTGGAACATATTTTAAATCAATTAATTTATAATATATATATATATATATATATATATTGAAATATACAATTTTTCACTTAGCTGATTGGTGTTATATTTAGCACTTCGATTCCTTTTGTAATCGTTCATTCCACTCGTCAGGTATCAAGAATAAAGGAGGGTCGTGTAAATTATATGATATTTTACTTAAAAGATATAAATATATGCTTTAATAGTTCTATAAAAGTTAATATATGTATGCGATCAAGCATGAACAGTATAATCGAAAAACTTCAAACAGAGTATCGTAATAATAATAATAATAATAATATTAATAATAATAATAATTGTAAAATTACCCATTTCCTTGTAAGGAAACATTCGGCATTCATTGATCGTAAAGTTAGCGTTACTGTCAGTTGAAATTTATAAAAAAATCTTTCTTATATCATTTTATCAGGTAATTAAATTAAGTCCGGTGTTATCATTTTTTCTAATATTGATGGGAGTTTCCTTCCAAACTTTTTGCTTTTAGTTATGTGGAAAGTTAACATCGTGGTTCTATCCTTATTTTCTATTCTAGCTACATGTGAGTCCCATTTTTGTTGTTGCTCTTAGAAAACTTCAAGTGATGCGGCTTTTGCGATTTTCTAAAGCTCTTTGTGATTGTGTAGCGCCAGTTTACATATCGGATGAAGGATTGTCTTCTTTAAAACCTGGAGGTTTCATTTTCTAGAAGTTTCTTTTTAATTATTGGTTTGAAAAAAAAACCCAGCTGCATTCAGATGAACATTTAGAAATTTCTGAACTGATTGATGCTACTTCTGACATCCGTTATATCTACCGCCCAGAAATTTGTATTATGTAACATTAACCTTATATTCAATAATATTAGCATATAATAAATATATGTCAAACATTGAAATTCGTGCCCGCAAAAAAAAAGCGTCAAAAAGACTCGTTTCCCATGATACTGCTCTTATTTTAGCTAACTTTAATCCTATTAAAATTATAATAAAAGCTAAAAATATCAAAGTGAATTTATGTATTTTATGCATTTTCTTAAAGAATTGAGAACAAAAATAATAAATATTATTTATTTATAAATTGTTTATTTACACTATATAATTATCATATTGTTAACTGAAATAGTTTGACAAAACGGCTAATTTCCAATTGATTCGAACTTTATAAAATAATAAGGATTTTCTTATAATTGGTTCATATAAAAACCAACCCTATTCTAGTA